AAAGTCGCTAGCCAGAAACCGCGTTCTGGACTAGCCAATCTCCCAAGCTCAGCCGAAGGGCTACCAGGGTCCTAGCTTAGCGTGGAAGGGAACTTGGTGGTCATCGCCCGGGCCGTGGCCCTCAGACAAAACTCTACAGAAAACTGTACACAGCGAGCTTCAGTTTTCACAACGACGTAGGAACTCAGACCTCCGCGCCAGTAGTCGTGGAAGCCCCAGCAGTCCGGTGCCACACCAGCAGCAGCACAGCCAAAGCTAGAGCAAAGGAGTACCCGTGGTACTGCAGACCGACGTGGAGTCCGCCACACTAGGAGGCTCAGCTCACTGCCCACGGTGAGCCCACACAGAGTTGACACTTCAGCTCAGCAGAGCAGGTGTCGTTGCACTGCAGCCTCAGTTGTTTCAAGTCGCCTGGCAGCCACGGCAGCCAGAAGACGCAAGCGGGTGGGACAACCAGGACTAAACCTTAACTACCAGCCCCCGGGTGGGGACTGGAGGTACAGTCGGTGGTGACTTCGGCAGTGCGGCCTGCAGCAGCACAAGCTTCAAGGTGGTCGTGAAGCCTTTGAGCCGCCTGCGCAGAGGCACGAACAGCAGCAGCTTCCCAAGCCTTGACATGTGCCGCATCAGCAAACCACTTTTCTCTGAGCGACCCTCGGAGTCGCCTGGTCGCACATGCCTTGGCAGAACGATCGGCAGCGTCATTTAAAGACCGTAGGTAGTCTGCAGTGAACACTGGATGAGTCGGCTTCCATCCACGACGGCGGTTGTGTGCAGGAACCCATATGAAACCAAGCTCAACCCCACCACTCCGAATTGCAGAAGCAAGTGTGCGAAGTCGTATTCCGAAGAGCGGCATCGACGGGCAGTTGAAGCGGGCTTTAAGAGCGCCTCGCAGTCGACAGCGATGATGACCTGTCCTTTTGCGCCATGAGCGACAGCGACTCTCACAGCTTCCAAGGCAAGCTTTAAAGCACACAACTCGGCTCTAAAAGAGGACTGGTCCTCACAGTCATTGCCTCCCGAAAAGGCACGATCGCATTTGTTGATCACGACCGAATGTGCCGCAACTCCGTTTTTGGCAGAACCATCGGTTGCAATCACAATGTGATGTGAGGTTTGCAGCTCCTCTCGGACCGCCTCAGCAGTCTCTTCGACGAGCTCTGCCTCATCCACGGCAGGGGGCGGAAGAGGCTGCTCCCGCAAGTGCTTTGACAGCAATCTTTCTTCACCACGGTGTGTTGGAGGTTCAAGATCTTTGCGAAGATCCTCAGTATTCGGACAGGACCAAAGAAGGTGAGCTCTGCTCGGTCGAGAGGCTCCGCAGAGGCATCTGTTTCGGTTGCGCAGGTTCACAGCAGGAGCCGTCTTGTTAAAGAACCCAGTGGTGCCTCCGGACAAAAACGCAGCTCGGCGGTGGTGTACAGAAGATTGGTCCGCCAACACGACTTTATGTCCCTGAAACTGAACACGATACGCATGTGGCGGGGCCGGTAGGTCGAGTCCCTGAGCCAGGTCTGGGTCTGGTGGCCTATGCAGACTGTGTGTAACACGTTTACAGCGCCGAAGGTACTGATCACGATAAAAATCCTCAAGCCACCTCTTAAGGACACTAAAGTTCTCAAAACCTATGCAGATTCTCCGGAGGCCACCCTGAGCATCCCGCCTGTAAAAGGTGTCGGCCTGAGCATTGAGCCACCAACCTGTTTTGTCCAAAAGCGCCTGGAGCTGCGGAAGACATTCAAGCCATTTTTGGGGGCATGCCGTGATCGGAAGCAGCTCCTGCCAAACTGGGGGTTGGGCAATCCACCTCCACGCCAGTCTGCACACTCCCATGTCAAGAGCAAAGTGGGGTTCTAAGCCCCATCCAAGTAACTCGTAGAAGGCCACAGTGGCAGTGTCACCACCATAGCCCGTGCTGAACAAGAACCTTACCTCAGCACGAACTGCCTCAATGTCATCGCGGGAAGGTTGTGCAAACCCCGATGCCCAAGCCAAGCACGGCATGACAAGAGCCCGCACCAGGTGGATGCGATCCCTGGTGGAGGCCTGGGCCCAACGCAACAGCCTGAGCCGGAGAACTGCCTTTCTCAAAGAGAACTTTGGAATAAAACCTTTGCCATCAAAGTCAAATCGAACACCTAACAGATCAAGGGTGGAACATGTTAGGAACTCCCATCGGGTTGCAAGCAGAGTCGCCTGCTCATTCGATAGGCTCGAGGCAATGAAACACTTGTCGGGCGAGAGGCAAAGCGAAAAGGCCGCGTCAAAAGCTGCGCTTGCACTTAGCGCTTGGTCAAGGTCCTGGCAGGATCCCGAAGGTTCCAGCAGCAATGTTCGGTCATCCATGAAATTTGCACATTGATGTGGTTACAACTAGACTTGATGTACTCACTCCAACAATGCGACAAAGCTGCAGCAGCGATTGGACTCAGCGGGCAGCCCTGTGCTATTCCAGCGTGCACCACATGGTACTCCGGATCGAATGATCCTTCAAAACAGAAGTACCTACAGGCACCTGAATAAAAGGACTCCAAAAGAGGAGCCAACTGCACGGGCGCACCTAAATGAGTAAACACCTTCTTCAACATCGTGGCATTCATGGCATCAAAGTAACCCGCCACATCCATCAAAGCTGCAGTGCGCGATCCACGGCTAAGAGCAGCTTGGACCTGGGAGAGGACATCGCTGATGGAACGTCCCGGAAGTCCTCCATGATCACTCTCAGAGGCCCACTCAGGGGCCCATTGTCGCAAAGCACGGGCAACAAATTTGGCCCCTATTCGCCACATGATTTGTGTCAAGGTTATGGGCCTGGTGGTAGGCCCCCCCTTTTTCCGAATGAGGGTCACTTTAGCAAATTTCCACAGCCTAGGGACCGAGGCAGTAGCCCAAATGCGACTCCACAGTTTGGCTGCCATAATCCACCATGTCAGCGGCATTTTGCACAGAGAGCCAGCCTGCCAGCTGTCTGGCCCCGGCGCTTTATCAGCAATCGAGGCCGCGATGGAGCGAAGGCTTTCAGCACTAAAATTCAAATCAAGCTGGGTGCTCCTGACAGCTGGCACCTTAGCCAAAAAACCTGATCAATGGCTTCGTGGTGAACCTCGGCTTTGGCCTGCCACTTACGAACCCAAGCTGCAGTAGCCATCATTGGCGAAGCCCGGGCCGCGGGAGCCGTTAAATCACTTGATGACGTTTCTGGGGGAGGCCCTTTGCCAGCCACCGGTCCAGGGCGAAAACGACGAATAGATTACGGCTTATGCCACTGGTCGGTTGCTGCCAGTTCGGTTTTGCATTTTGACCCGACCTTCTCTGATCATGCTTCGGTGTGTTATGAGGTCCCGTTGGATGTCCCGCCGTTTCATGTTGGGCCTCGCCGATGCCCCCTCAATAGTGATTCCAAGGAAGCCATTGCTGACACTTTTTCCCAGTTCGACTGCACGCCCTTTTGGGCGGCTTTGGACCAAAACGACGTAGATCATGCATGGTGTCTCCTGTCAGATTGGGCAGAGGCCTGCCTAGCCTCTAGTGACCCGGAGGCCCTGCCTCGCAGTAGTCACTGGAGTCCCGGCAAGTTTGCCAGGCAGGCCCGAAATTGCATTCAGGGCTCGGCTGCGGTAAGGGCCTTATCCAAGCTTCAGCGCCAGCTTGCAGCTTGGTTTGAGACGGGTGACCAACTTGTTCTACAAAAGATCATTAGGTCCTTACCCCGTGCCCGTTCCCTTGTCCCTGATTTGTCATGGGTCCAAGAAAATCGCTTGCCTGCACTTAGTGAATTTGTCAACTTCCGCGCTTCCCCGACACCAAGCACAGGAAGCTGCAGCTGCCAAGGTCCGGTGGAGACAACTGCTTCGTGACGATATCGGTCGCCAGCGAACTTTTGTTAAGGCTACCTTAACCAACCAGACCCAATTAAAAAGTCGGCGGATGCTTATGACACGGGGCGTTGCTTCGAAACCTCGGGTTTGCTGTTTTCATAATTTCACACATGAAGGTGATATCTCTTGAAAGCCATTCGTGTCACCACAAGCTCCAAAGAAATCCGAATGTGAGATCTCAGGAAGACAAAAAGTAATGACTGATCATTGTAGCTCGATAAATTCCGCTTGATGCGAAAATATTTCGGAGCTGCTCTTCTCGCTGTTGTTACTTATTGTATTGGTGCTACTCCGAATCCCGTTGTATATATGCGCATGCACACAATCGCAGAAAAGTCTTGTTGTTTTAACGGTGTCGCGTCTCGACCAATAGTCCAGATTTCACCCGCTCCGAATACGAACACTGGAGGTGCCTCTGGAGCACTCGTTGTAATACAGTCTGAGCTGCTACTCGTCGGCTAAGCCTAGAGGGCTTGCCGATAAAGTCCTCGGATGTCTGTGTCGAGCAACAAACCGGGTTCAAAGATTTCCTGGCTGCTCGGGAATCCTTCCATAAGGTAAGCGCTATATGATGTAGGCAATGCAGCTTCGGCTGCAGGATCCATAATGGCTGCCCGGAGTGCCCAGCTTGCCAACTGCGAATACCGACGAAGAAATCTGCAGGCAAATTGCGCTGCTAGGCCCCCATCCTCTGCACTGAGCCAGGCGCCCGAGCGAAAGAGTAAACGCACAAAAGAATTCAAAGATTTGCAGGCTTCCATAGCCAAGCTCATCACTTCATCATCCGCGTCGAAATTTCCATCCAGTGATTCGAACCACTCTAACAAAGTTGTGGTGAGCTCTGCTTTGTACCACGGCCCAGAAGGATAGTCAGTCGTGGCGGGCCACGAGATGAGATCCTTCGTGATCTTGTGTGTAATCGGAGGGTGCGAGGTAGCCGCACACCATGTCAAATATTTTTCAGTGATCGCATTGAAGCGCTCGTCGACATTTCCAGCGGATTCTCGCTCGGATAGAAGAGCCAGAGCCGACCCTAAAAAATTTCGCCCGATCCCCAGATGGACGGTGTGGAAAATGTCAAAGGCGTAGTGTTCCGCTAAGCGGCCCGGCGTGTGTGGCACAATGGCCATCGCAGGCGTGTCATAAAAAGGCTGTGATAGGCCCAGCGTCGAGGCCCACG